AGAGAATCAATTATGTCAGTTGGGGTCGCTATGCCACAGCCCCAACATATGTCTTCATACAATCGATTCACCAGGAGCACGAGGTAATAGAATCAATTATGTCAGTCCGGTGGGATATGCCACAGCACCACGATATGTCTCAGTCCGGATAATTCTACACACTCAAAAGCAACCGAATTAGCCATCATGCCCTCGAAATTAGTGACAAGTTGTCACTGACAACATGCAGACATGATCTACTTTGAGTAAACACGGATGAGCGCAAAGTGATGCCATTAAGAAAACACAGAGTATCCCTATACGACGTGATCCCAAGTCCACTCACCCAGACTGGCCAGATCCGTTCCATGGTTTCCACCCAGCAACCGTGCTGTCCGCGCTCCTAATACAGAACCCTTCAGGGCCGAGATAACTTCGTTTTCGGTCTTCAACGACGCCAACGATCGCAATCTCAACCGGAGTCCCCATGGCTTCAGTTGGACTGCTTTGCACACCTCTCGACGATCCTTCGACCTCAATGGTCCCTGAGAAATTGTCTCACATGCTACGTCAATCTGGAATGACTACGTCTGGCATGCCTTCAGTGAGGGCATCGACGAGGAAATCCACCTGCTCCTTTTCGCTGGTGTGAGCCAGCTGAGTGAGGTTATCGACAAACCTCGACATACTGCTGCTCATGCACAGAGAAGCTGGCCTCCAAAGATTGACAACACAATGCACAGAGAGATGGAGTATGAGCTAATTATTGATGACAATAATACCTGGTATGATCCTTCTTAGCGGAAGTGGATCATCTATGCACCTTCACGTCGACCAGCCATGGCCGAGCTGACACGATCACCTCCAAGCCCTCGGCAGGGAACCAGCTTATAGATAAGTGGTCTGAAGGGAGAACCCTTTGAGAGCAGTAGCCGTCTCGCCAGCCATACAATGGCTCTTCCTCAAGCGTCGTTTGGATACCAATCTCCTGTTGCAACACTTCCCGACTGAACGGTCGTTCCTCGGGAGTACCCGTTTCTAAGGTAGCGATCAAGCTCAGGAGGATTCCCAGCGACCTACCTGCTGTAAAGGTGGAGAGTGAGTGGTGATAGCCGTTGAACTCGAAGTACCTTAGATTAAGCACAGAAGAGGGGATCAGAGCGCTTCAGCTCACTCTCGAATGAGCTCGTTGATGATGACATTTTCCTTTGGGGGTGATGGTGCGTTATCCCGCCCCTCCTTGAGAGTACTGAAGATCTCCGACCGTAGCTGAGCCCTGATCTTTCCCAACGTCCCTCGAGACTCCAAAACGGTCTCGAGAGTTTCACGAAGTTCCTTCAAGGAGTCACCCGCTGGTTGGGAAACCATAAGCGAGGGAGAATTGAAATTGAAGTGTAGTAGCCTACAGGAACCCGTCTTCGTGGAATTGGAATTTTGCCGCGCAAGAGCGATTCATACTGTGCGAATGTGCACACGGCGA